ATGTTAACCCTTTTCACACTGTAACGTGATTTTTGGTCCTCTTTAGAAATGAAAGTTTTCTGGGACATTCAAATGAGAGAGAAACACTTCAAAATGACTGTTTTAGAAAGATGCCTTTCCTTGAATTGACCACAGTCATGCAAATGCACAAAAATTGAGTATGAGGCCTTTTCCTATGGTGAGGAATTAACTTTGGTTTTCCCTTGGTCTCCGTTAACCTTGAATTGCTTGCAAATACGGAAAATGTATTCTGAGTGTCTTACCTACACCTTTAAAATGTCATCCGTCTCGAAATTTCAAAAGTCAGACTTTGCCGGATCCCACATTTCTTCACATGCTCCTTTGTTTAACTTTAGGTTAATTTGTCCTGACAGTGCAGCTGCAGGCTCCGCATTGCAGTCTGTCATTAAGAGCAGCAAGAATGATCTGGAGGGTTGGAACTGTTGGGAGTTAATTTGGCGTAAACCTAACATTCAAAGATTTCTCAAGATATGACATGTCATGTCTCTGTCCAGTCACACTTCTGTTTAAGAAGTTCTTGTTTATATTATAAATATGACCTTTACAGTTATCTTTCAAAGTGCCCAGTGCTTTGAAGAGGAACCCTGAGGAGCTATGGAGATATTAAACTCACAAAGCATGTTTCATAGGAATGTCAGTGTCCATTTGAGTGTCTTTTTTTTTTTTCTTCCTTCTTTTTAGCCACATAGCAACCCTGTCAGCTGGTGGCAGATTGTGGTATTAGAGTCTTGTGATAGAATTAATCCCAGGTAATCAAAGGTCCATCATCACACTTTTTAGCCAGAGTCCATTATTTAAAGTGTTTTCTCCTCTGCAGATAAAATAATCCCTTGGTTCCTTCCCGCTCTAAATTCTCTCACCGGACACACGAATTGGCGTGTGTTGGTTACTGACTTTGAGACCCACCCCAGAGCAAGTCAGCCTACTTTTCCTAATGATGAACGAGGTGCCCTCCTCTGTTTCTTAGACATTTGACTGTGAGGACATAGTGATGGAGTGCAGTCCTCTGATGGAGGCTAAGCGTCTAGCTAACCTTGCCAGCCACCAGTGGGACCAGCTAAGTCTAGTGACCTATCAGACGTACGTCCTCTAGAGATCCCTCTACTGGGTGGCAATTCCTGATCTAGATACTTTGTCTTTACAGTGATAAGGTAGCGTAACGGCCCTGGTGCTCAGCGGGGTCTCCGAGTTGCCCTTCTCAGAACCCCCATTGGCAGCACCTGCGCCCATTTACACTTAAGCCGTTTGGGGGTTCGCCACAGATCTGCTCTATGTGTTCTTGTAACGACTCTGAGACAAAGTTAAAGATCACGAACCTGAGCTTGAACTGACTGGTGTCATGGCAACTGGCACTTCACCTTTGGCTGGTCCCGGTCCCATACGCGCTGCAATATTTGTGCACATTAATAATTCATCACAAAGTGCCAGGTTTCTTTGTGCTGTCAAACTGTGTCAAGGACGGAATAGGCTGTGCTATCTCAGATGTCACCTACCAGACTGCAGAGGGCAAGAGGAATTAGAAAAGCAACCTCGTCGGGTTACTTGGGAACGTTCCCGAGAACGCCATGCCTTCTTGCCACACGTCTGTAGCATTTTTCTCGGAAAGTAAGGAATAGACTTGGTGTTGATCAAAGTTTATTTGGTAACGTGCCCCTGACTCAAGGCAGGAGTTTGGTTGTGGAAAGGACGCATGAGCGGTAATCGCTCGCCTCCACTCAGGCGGCAAAGGAAATGATTAACAGCCGTAGTGCTCGGTCACGTGCATCGGGCTCCGGCGTGAGCCCTGCAGACTCGGGTTTAAAAAGAAACCTGAGCCGCCCCGGTGTGAATGCTCTCCCCCGGCTTGCCTTCGCCCAGCACCCAGTAGGAGCTGTGTGGCCGACACCAGCTTTGGAAGACAATCAGTCCGAGTTGCGTGGCCACCCGGGCCCTGAGATGGCTTGCTTACCTCCCCTCCCAGTTTCCTCAGCACCTTGTTTGTTGTTCCCGACACTGTTCGTAGTTGTAGTAATTGTAGTATTGTAAGTGGCGAGCCTTTCTAAATAAAGAATGTAGGCCTTTTTCTTGGAAGGTAGAAAATGCAGACACGCTGGATTTCATTTACTCAAAAGGCCAAATTCATCCCTGATTAGAGAGAGAAATCACATTTTATAAGAAACTTTGACCTGCCACTGCCTTTTTTTTTTTTAAATCAACCCCTCCCTCCCTCTGAAAAGAAGCTTCATATTAAAACAAACAAACCTGTGTCACACTTTACTGGCTACCTAAAGTGAAGCATGTTTCCCTGGAAAACATGTTTACAGTCTACCACTGGAAAAGACTTTAGTCACATAGCCATATTTGGATTCTTTTTTTTCTCTTTTTCTATTTTCCTTTTTCCTTTAAATGCAAAACCAGTAGCTTCCATGTCCTTCCAAGGTGCTCTGCGGGAGGAAGCAGCACTAAGTCACATTGTGTAGAATCTGCAGCCATAGCACCCTGCTCTTGAGAGGGAGAAACTCCAACAGCTTCATATTCGAGGTGCTGACTTAACACAGGTGCTAGTGAGACTGAATCCTGCTGAAGGACAGGAATGGGACCTGCTCCCAGTTTACCCATCATTGTTTGGCCAGATCATAATACAGTGCCTGCACGTAGTAGATGTTCAAGAAATACTTGTTGAATGAATAAGTTAAGTCTGCTGGAGCAGAAGTGGACTTTAATCAGTTTCAGAACCTTGCAGCAAATTGAACTTAAAAACATTTAGAAACTTGCTAACCTTCTATCACCTACCTTTATATGTGCTGGGGATCTGGATGAGCCGTTTAACACCTGCAGGCATCAACGTGGAACGTGAATATGGAGAAGTGATTAGAGCCAGCGACTTGGGGTCTGTGTTTCTGGTCGGTGCTCGCCACCAGGTCGTGCTCGAGCGGACACTGGCCCTGAAAGAGCACGGGCAGAGATTCGGGTTTGTCAGGTCACCCAGTGGCACATCCTTGCTGACATTATATGTGTGTGTGTAAGTACTTAGGATTTAATATTGAATCCTTCTACTTACTTAACTTACAAATAGGACCTTCATCCTAAATCCATCCCTCTCTTCCAAGACTCGGCAAACTTTTAATACTTAGAAGATCTCTGGATAACATCAAGACTAAATTTTGTACTTTTTAGCCAATCTAGGAACAGATAATTATAATCAGGTACTTAAAAGAAGATTTACAGGTATGATTACTTAAGGATGTGTTGTCTGGTTTAGATTAGAATAGATAAGCTTCTTTGTGATGTTACTTTATTGTAATTCTGCAATATAATGTCCATATATAAGCTATAAAGCCTAAAGTTTCCAGGTCCTATGGACTGAAAACAAAAATCAGAATACTACAAAACATAACTGTATGTTACAGTGAATGATACTGATTATATGTCTTAAGGAAATATGGACAAAGTCAAGGTGAATGGGATAATATTAGATAAAGGCTTAACACCCTACCTACCTTCCATAGAGAATTATTGAGAGACTCTGATGACCTAATTAACGTAAAGCACTTTTAAAACTGTGAGAGACTATGTAAATATGTGATTAATATTACGCTTTGGATTATGTGGGAGGGCATTGCAGGTAGACTGTCAGAGAAGAGTTCATAGGTAAAACCTTACAGGTGAGAGCAATAGTGACTGGGTAACAGCAGAGAGGAGGCCCAGGCAAACAGGTGTGAGTGGGGACCCGGGGGTTTATGTGATGAGCAGGAGTCAGACTGGGGAAGACCTTGGAGAATTTCACAGAGACTCATCTGGCAACTGTATGCATCATGGATGGGAACATGGGAGAACCTCAGAATTAAGGGAATGGCTGTTTATGATCTTGTATATGCAAATGTTATCAAAACAAATTAAATATGTATGCAAAAATTCAGTGATCTCCTGGTCAGGAAATCCTCTGAGAAGGGAATGCAAGTCTTCTTTAAGGCCAATGTGTAGTGTTTGGGTCTTTTTAACTTCATAAATCATGGGAAGCAGTGTTGGTAGTGGGGTATAACTCAACAGTAGACAGATTGCTCTTTGCTGCTTTCTTTTAAGAAGCAGGTTATAAAACTGTTGGGAGCCTGGTGGAGTAGTTAATAGATCACCTTAAGCAATTTGAAGTAATTTTTTAAAAAAATACAGCCTTGCATCTTGAAGGCAAGACAGCCAGAGGGAAAGGAGAAGTTTAGTGCGTAAGAAATCAATACAGCCTCTGGGTCCACTGCCCTGGAACTTCTGTCACGTGCTCTGCCCCCTTGAGTGGCCAGGCACCTGCCTCTGGGGGAGGTCACTCCCCAGTAGACCCCACAGTGGAGTGTGGTCATTCGGATGGCTATTAATTGTTGTCAAGGCAAAGTAGGCCTTACGACACATTTTTCATTCAAATGATTCTGTACTTGTACCCTCTTTTTCTTAACACCTATAGTACTTTATATCCTCATAGTATACTTTGGTAGTAAAGCTCTGGATGCTGAAAGATGCTGCTGGAATATCTCTTCATTCATGAGTCTGTGCTGTGTAGAGACAGCCATAAGGTAAACATTATACGAGGCACCTCTTGGTGGGTAGGCGGGAGGTCCCTCCCAGACAGGAGATGGCTGCGCTGAAGTGTCATGAGCGTGAAGAGATCTCTGACCTGGGAGTAGTTTAGATTAGCAGATAACTATCACTTGAAAGGTGATAAAGAGCCTCCTGCTAATGGCTCTCTTTTCATCTCTGGACATTGTCCCCCAAAGCTCTTGTGTTTCAGTCTTGTTGGTCACGGCTTCTAACAGGCCTTCCATGCCAATGACACGGTGCTAAGTTAGCCAGACGCTCAGAGGATCTTCTCTTCCTGATAAATGTAAAATGTTTAAAAACAAATGGGGAAATGCATCGTTACGTGGGTAAAGCTTTGCTTTGTGACCTGGGATTGGGTTTTAGATGAAACTCATAATGTCGGTTCTAAAGCTTGAATCGTCCTTTCCTTTCAGACCACGAAGGCGTTCCTCCCTACCATGCTGGAGATTAACCACGGTCACATCGTGACGGTTGCAAGTTCCCTGGGATTGTTCAGTACGGCTGGAGTTGAGGTCAGTCCAATATAAAGCATCTCCTTCATTCAATTGATTTAGCTTGTGACAGATACAGCAAAGTCCTAGGAAGAGTACCCGCTGCCCGCACGTTCGTGAGAGCCTGTGAACGCACACTGCCTGTGAGGGACGGTGCCCCAGGGCCAGCTGCCGAAGCGCCACTGACGCCCCGCTTTCCTGAGCAGTTTTCCTTGATGGCGGTGGGAAGGCACGGGGTCAAGATGAGACTGGAGGGCAGCGGCTGTGCCACAGGGACCAGATAAATGAGGCCAAAGGTTGACATTCTGTTTTGGTCAACTTGCCAAAAAGCAAGCTATCCTGTATCACCTCATCAGACGAGATGGCTAGGGGCGGGTATGAGGTGTCTGCATTGTAAGTTTGTGGAACTGGGCTTAATCAGACCCTTTTCCTCACCATATTCAAGTGACACAGCATGTATATGTATATTGTTTTGTGCTGTTTGTCCCATGGGTGCCTGGAGGGTAAAACTGAAAATACCACCCCCTGCAAATATGCAAAAGGATGCAGAAGATACGGCTTCCACCTTCTCCGTTCCCACCTCGAAACTGAAAGTTGGATAATGGAGAAGAATGTTCATTCTAGGCTGTGAGTCCTTAGGTTAAGCTCTAGTTTAAGTTCACAGGGTGTACTTACCATTTCCATTTTCACTTGACCCTGGAAAGAAAATCGGATCATAACAGCTTATAACCCAAGCTAGACTCGCCTTTGTTCTCCTAGCATTAATTTAAACAAACTGGTTTTTCAGTCTCCTTTTCTGAACAAGAGACCATTTGTAAATTTTCCAGACACTTCAAAGTGAACCTCTCTCCATTTTTAACTCCAGCTTGTTAGCTTTCATAGAATCCTTTGTGGTGACTTCCCCAGAGTAATATGATACTTCGTTGATGTGGCAAAAAGTGTTCATCTGTTTCTGCTGTTGCCTTGAAAATATTATTTCTGCACCAAACCACATCAGATATGTGTCTTTTAAAATGCTCTCCTTTTTTCTTTGCTTAGTCACCTGTAACCTTTTGTATCAAGCATGTAACCAGAGTAACAGGGCCAGGAAAGCTTCAGTTTGGTTAGGAATGTGTGCGCTTACTGAGTATTTCTGCTCTCTCCCCATCACCTCAGGATTACTGTGCCAGTAAATTTGGAGTCGTGGGTTTTCATGAATCTCTGAGCCACGAGTTAAAGGCTGCTGAAAAAGATGGAATTAAAACAACGCTGGTGTGCCCTTACCTTGTAGACACTGGCATGTTCAGAGGCTGCCGAATTAGGTGAGTAAGTACCTGCCTTAATACTGACGAGAAGCTGTTTTAAAAATCACCTTTCCATCTCAGGAGACAATGGAATCAATTGGATCTCCAGCCACAATCAGCCTTGCACATTAACAGCCATCATTGGACAGTTAACCTGTAGTTTTCATTGGTCAAATTTTGTAAAATCGGGGTGTGCACGACTGACGAGCGAGGGGCTGGAGTGAGCTTGCAGAAGTCGGCCTGGAGGCCTCAGTGGGCAGTGGCTGCTCTGCACCTTCCAGGAGAAAACCAGGACCCAGGACTTTCCTGAGAAGCTACTTCTTCAGGAGAGATTTTCTTTCTTTTATTAGTTGTGGTCCATAAATGCAACTCTGGTTTGGTTACCAATGTCACTGCCACAGAGGAGGATGGCCTTTCTTCTAAAAAGACCCTTGAATGTGACACTCCAGATCTGGGGACTTGGAGGGAGGGTAGAGCTCAGTGGTCGAGCACATGCTTAGCACGCACGAGGTCCTGGGTTCAATCCCCAGCACCTCCATTAAATAAATAAACAATCAAACCTAGTTACCTCCTCCTCCAAAAAAGCAAACAAACAAACCAAAAAAAAAAATTAGAGGAACAGATTTGGGAACTTCCTTTTGGCAGAAAGTGTTTATAGCTAGATTCACTCTTGACAGAATGAGAAGAAACGTTTAGATTTACTAAAAATGAAATAAAATGCCCACACACTTTGAAAGGAGGCATGTGGGAATAGAAATGTCAAGTCACATCTGACTTGAGCTAAGCAGAATAAACAAAACCATGACTCATTAAGAGGATACTTGTAAGGACATGCTTACTAACTCGAGATCTCTGCTTGGCTGAATTTGAAAGGCCAAGCAAGATAACCAAACCAGTTCCCTGTGGGTCAGGGCCAATCCTAACACATCCTGAACCTGACCACGCCGCGAAGCAGGTGGAGATTTGAGTCATTTCGATCTCAGGCTGACTAAATCTGGACCCGGGGGGACTCACCCCTGCCTCTTTTCCCATATGTGCGCATGTGTGTGTGTGTGTGTGTGCGTGTTGGTTTGGTTTCTTCCTCTTATGAACTTAGGAACCAGGTGCTGAGGGTCTGCGGCGCTCTGTTTCCTAGTCATTGTCACGACAGGTGTCCAGAGCTGTGAGGGGACAATGAAAAGGGAAAAGAATAAATTATGTTAAGTTATCTCAGTGTGTAATGGATCGAATTCACCTGAAGGTAGGCTATCTCCGTGCCCTTCATTTCAGAGACCCCCAGAGGAAACGCCGTCTAGGACAGCACCCCGAGGACTTTGATTCCACTCGGAAAGGTTTTGTCAGTGTTTACACGCCACCATTTGAACTACGCTTAACACTGAAAGTTTGGCATCTTGTTTGGGTGTAGTGTTTGTTATGCCAGACAACCTCTCCTTTTTCAACTGAGAGGAAAAAATAATAATAATTTGAAATACGTTTTAAGGCATTTTGAAAACACGACTTTCTCACTTTACAGAAAAGCAGACCAATTCTGCTTTTGTTAATTTGTTTTCCAGACTATGCAAATAAAATGTGTTCATAGTAGGAAAGTTTAGAAAATACAGAAATAACACAACGAAGTAAAATGGACCCCAAATCCTGTCCCTCAGATAACGTCACCCACCCTTCGTATTTTGATGCATATTTCCCAGTCTTCCCTATTCTGTGTTCACTCTTAATTTCATCTTCTGAATGTGTAACTCCCAGGAAAGAAATTGAGCCCTTTCTGCCCCCTCTGAAGCCTGATTACTGCGTGAAGCAGGCCATGAAGGCCATCCTCACCGACCAGCCCATGATCTGCACCCCCCGCCTCATGTACATCGTGACTTTCATGAAGAGGTAACTGAGGGGCTCCCCACTCCGCTGGGCCTCCCACACCTGCCCCATAACATAACTGCCACACAGTGTCCCCCGTTTGCTAACTGTGACTTTTCCTCTTTCAGCATCCTCCCTTTTGAAGCAGTTGTGTGCATGTATCGGTTCCTAGGAGCGGACAAGTGTATGTACCCCTTTATCGCTCAGAGAAAACAAGCCACAAACAATAACGAAGCAAAAAACGGAATCTAAGGATTTTTTTTGTATATGGAATATTATTTCTACCAGAAGGTGATCAAGATATCTCGGTTCGATCCACATCAGCATGACCGATAATCTCTGGATTCTAAATCCGCATTGACTTTTTTTTTTAATCAACTTTTTAAAAAAAAAATAAAAGTGTAAATTAACTGACTAGAGTATTTGGAAAATGTGATCAGCAAAAGTGAGCTTAATTGCCAACAGGGTCCTTTTCAGGCAGAACCCTGAAACCAGTCCAATCTTTTAGACCAGCGCTGTGTGACATCTCCGGGCTAGCGTTATTATTATTATTTTTATTTTTTGAATGAGCAGGAAGTCTCGAGACGATAACCACAGTGTGTTTCACGTGTGTGGTTTTTCTTAATTCCCATAGAGTTTATTAATTCTTGTAATTAATCTCTAGCCAGCTGACACCCTTGTGACTTCAAGGACTGACAGTGCTATATTTTCTCATGTTTTCTAAGTTTCAGTTTTGCAAAACCTGTGTGGCCCTTTCATGGTGTTTGTATGTACAACTCTTTTAAAAAGGCATTTTGAAATCTCCATCAGTTTGAAGTAAACAATGTCTGGTTATTACAGTAAAAGTGACCAGGTCTCTCTGTTAAAGTCGTAACGACTCAAGTTGGTCAAATTTTAAAATTTATCTCTGAAATCTTTCCTTAAGTATCTGTTCCTCTGGAGACCTATTTAATCCAAAAAAGATCGTACGTTTTCTACCTATGAATTGTGCTGCAGTACAGAAAGTGCCCTTTCCTCAGGAAGTTGCTGTGTTTCATTTCTTTGGATGGACTTTGATCTGGAATACATAGCAGCTCTGCAAAGAAACAGTTTCTAAAAATGGGAACTTCTGCATTTAAAAATGTCCCCATTTTTGTGCCAACTATGATTAGCGAGGGGGAGAAAATCTTATACTATGGAGTACGTATGGAAGGGTGTAAAGATTCTTTTGAAAGTTTTATTTACATTGTAGAACAGCAAATGACATTTTTACAGTATTTTTTTGTAAAGCAAACTATTTTGTGCCTTGAATTTGGTAAATGTGTATTAGTGAAACGTTGTAAAAGTGAACTTCTACCTCTGTATCTAAATGTATACCATCCACTTGTAAATTACTATAAACTATTATGTGATTGCTTTTTTTTTTTTTTAGAATGTCTTGTTTAAATAGCGACCAATGTTTAAGGCTAATAAAATAAGCCATCTTTTACTAATTAATTGGGAAATTTTATAAAGGACTGATTAAATTTAAAGACTGAACTTACAAACAAATGACTGTGTGATTATTAGTTATCAGCAGTGTTGTAGGGACAGTCTTTGTGTTCTTTTTTTCTCTGTACCATATCACACCTTTAAAGAAAAACGTTTGAATGGGATAGAGAATAGACATTAGCAGCTGAGGGTGTCATACATTCACACTTCCAGTGTCACCATCTACTTAGATTAGATACTTTGTCAGGGGCTTGTTGATTCTAAAAGTGAGAAAACAGAAAGAATCCCATTACCTGTGTGTTGTCTGGCTGCACCCCAGATTCAATCCGCATTGTATCCACCTGCAGGAAAGTCCTGGCTCACTGCTCGTGGCCCCAGCAGTGGCTGGTCTTAAGGAATTTGTTCAAATTTCTTTCTATGTTCAAATTTCTCCTTATAAATGATAACTAAGCCTGAGGCCATTATAACACTTGGAGCACTGGCTGCTTCTTATTTTCCATTTTGGATTTTAAGAAGTGCAGTTGACCCTTGGACAACACAGGGTCAGGAGCACCAACCCTATATCGAGTCAAAAATCCACGTATAACTTAGAGTCAGCTCTCAGTATCCATGGTTTCTCCTTACCCGCAATTCACCATCTGCTGATGGAACCGACCGCAGACTGTGTCGCACTGTAGTACTGACCACTGGAAAATACGCACGTGTGAGTGGCCCGGCGCAGTTCGACCCTGTGTCGTTCAAGGGTCAACTCTGCTTTGACGTAGCCTCATAACAATGTGGGGTGGAGACTTATTTTCAGAGGTTGTCCAGGTCTGCCTGCCAGCCAGTCCCTGGCACACTGCAGCCATCCTACAGAGCTCTGCTCTGCTTTTAACAACCCACTTATCAATCTTAAGACTAAGGAAAGTCTTCTTTACATTTAGTTTTACTCTCATGTGTTGTAATTTCAACCTATTTCTACTCTTGTTTGTTACTGCCCTTATAAGGTTGTCCATCTCTAAATTCAATAAACCAAATTCCTGTAACTGTTTTGTAGAAGTCTTCAATTCCCACGTCCCAGCCTTAGTTTAATTACCTCTGTCTGTGGCTCTCCCTGGAACATTGTCCAAATTCTGTTTCCCATCTTTAGCTGTGGAGTTTGGAAGGGGGCACAGTTAACGCAAGCGCAGGACCGCAGGGTTCCCACGTGTGGTGTTGCTTCGACCTGGTGTCCTGTTCTTGGTACAGCGCTGCACTGATGACACTGTTGTCCCCGAACGCGGGCTCTCCTCTAGGCAAGCCTGCACACGTGCATTGGTCACTTAAGCCATGGCCAACGTCACTTTTCTTGCTGATTATTCATCTACACTCCCAACCCCACCTTGAGATTGATTCCGACTTTGAACAGGTTCCCTTTTTCTGTCATCTGGCCCTTTCAGGAGATGTTCAGGGCCACTGGACTCAAGGCTGACCCCCTAGGGAGGCCACTTCTGTCCCCCTCGGCTAGAACTGGTGCTCTCTCTAACCTCTCAAGCAGTTTAATGGTAATCTTACTGAGCTGGACCCAGGAATCAAAAGTTTCAAAGCCAGCAAAGATAAATGCCAACTATTGTTTCCCCTCCTTGATCTACCAGGTCTGCGGCTCTGTCACAAAAGATTAGATTAGCTTGACAGGATTGAACTATGTAAATCCAGGCTGGTAGGGGGTTTTTTTGTTTTTGTTTTTTTTAAGTATCCTGTGTCCTTGAAAGGCTATCACTTTCAAATTTTTCCCAAGTTGAAAAAAAAAGTCAAATGTCTTTTTCAAAGTTTTCTTTGCCAACTGGCAGGAAAAATTCAAAATTGGTGTTGATCTGAATCTTGGAAATTTGCTTTTGCCTCCAACAAAATGTATAATCAGTGGGGGTTGGGGGAGAAGGGTAGTTCTTTCCACACCAAATTTATTGCCTGTGTCTGATTAAAAAGGGGAGTAGAGAAAGCAAGGCTTTCTCAGGCCAGAAGTGGCTGGGACACGGGGCCAGGGAGTGTATTGTCAGCATTTGCCCATACTCAGCTTAACAAGTACACCAGACATCTACAAGGCCCACGGACTCAAGTAGCTTGCAATTAACTCACAAGTTCAAATACAAGTCTCTTGATGTGCATGTGCCACAGATGAAGCCTCAGAGTGTGATGAGGTCTCAACGAGACCGAGAGGCAGAAGCCTTGAAGGCTGGCGATGCAACAGCTGGAGCTGAGAATAAGAGCTGGGCATTACAAGGGACAGATAGTCTGGAGAGGCCCAGAGGCTGAAAAAGGAAGGTTATATTCACTGTGCCTGGAATGCAACGGGCAAAGAGAATGCCACGCGTTCCTGATGAAGGTCCCAACTTGAAAACAGGCCTTCATTCCAGGAAGATGAATGACGGCTTCATTTGATAGAGAAGAGGGAAGCCCTGGGAAGTTTAGCAGGAAAGCTAGTTAATTGCATCATCAATCCAACCCATGTAAGAAACTTGGAGACCCCGGGAGCCAGGAGGGCAGACAGGAGGGACACTATGGCAGGGGTGCAGCTGAGCGGTGACGGGCCTGAGAGCCAGTCCAGTGAAGAGGATGGAAAAGACAGTGGCTCCTGGAGTTTAGGAGGGAGAAGAACTCTGCCAGGCTGAACAGCCGATTGCCTAGATCTAACTTTGGCTTGAGTGACTGAAGCCTCATTTGTCATGAGCCAAGTCTTTTTGTTTTTGTTTTGTTTTGTTTTGTTTGAAGTATAGATGATTTACAATGTTGTGTTAGTTTCAGGTGTACAGAAAAGCAATAATTATACATATATATTATATATATTCAGTTACACATACGTATGTTCCTTTTCATATTCTTTTCCATTACGGTTTATTACGAGATACTGAATATAGGACCTAGAGATTGCCATACTAAGTGAAGTAAGCCAGCCAGAGGCCAGGGCATTTTTAAGCGCGAGCAGCAGAATGGTCAGTGAGTTTATCTTAGAAATGTTGCATTTGGGGTGACGATCAATCCCCGGCAGACAGGTGGACGTCAGACCTGGCCCTCAGGAAAGAGGTGGGTGTGAGGGTTCTGGAACCATCTGCATAGAGGCTGTGAAGTGAAGGGAACTGGAAGAGTGGCGAAGCCCGGAATGAGAAGGTCCAGGGCTCAGAACCTGGGGAACGTGAGGAAGCAGTTCCATCGTAAAAGGTAACGTCGGAGAGGAGTTTCT